TCATGGTGCCTGATGCTGGATGTGGGATATGAGAGCACTAACTGGAGCCGGAGCAGCTGCGGGAAGGGGGTACCCCTCACGCGTGACACACTCACCTGCTCTCACGTCTGTGCCCAAACTACTTGCAGAACTCCACTGAAGTCAGCAAGGAGACAGAGGGGCCTTGAGCATCTGTGTAGGTGGAACAAGTGGGAATGGCCTCGTTTGGAAAGGTGTTGAATGCTGTAACTTTGAATATTGGGGATACTGGAGCTACAAAAGTGTAGCTTTTTTTTCCGTAGCAAAATATTGTATTTGTTTTGAAATGTGTGTTAAGCGACATGACATTGATGTACAATAGCACAAAAAATTGCCTAAGACATGAACAGAAAACCAAGGGATTTTAGGATTAAAAAAAATGAAGGAATGTGACTTCAACCCTGTCTAATTATAGTAAATCACAATGCAGTTAGAAGTAGAAGAGTTTATTATATAGCATGTGTAGAACTAGTTCTAACTAGGGGAGCGCCAACCAATATTTTCAGTATCTTGGCTCTGCAGATTTGACACCTTATTTTTTGCATACTGGAATATGTTTTTGGGATTATGTGCATTTTTAAAAAGTGTTTTGGAAAAAGTTTTTATTTTTACAGCAAATTGTATTTGGATTCCATTTTACCAGACATCGGGCTTATTCCCTTATCTTTGAAATGTATTGACATTAGTCTCAGTGGGAGCACAACCAGATTTAAATTTTGTGGGATTTCTACTACGAATTTCGGTCTTGCAGTCTCAAATTTCTTCTGAAAAGCCAGAATGTATAAATGTGTGTGAAACAATCACCTCCCATACTTCAAATCTTTACTTAAGAATTGCACATAAGGAACATAATGTATGTCAGGCTCATTAGAGGAAGGGTTTGTTATATATTTTTTTTTAATCCTGAAATACATTTGGTATTTGTGTATTTCTAGACAAAAGTGTAACAAAAATGACAGACTGGTCACCAATGGAACCAAAACATGGTGTAGATGATGTTTTTGTGTTAGGAAAAGTCTACTCGGTTTTTTTCTGCTCCAGAATGAATGCACATATCAAATGTACCTTCCTATTGTCATTCATGCATTGTTTGCAGTGTGCTCATTCAAAACCAGCAGGGTGGTTTTCATAAATGAGACACTGAAAGGTGGTTTATCCTGTGTCTCACATTTATGCCAAAAAGGCATTTTCATTTTCTCCAAATCCTAAAAGGTGCTGAAAGATTTTTAACTTGAATTAAAACCAAAGAGTATGTAATTGGGAGGTTTTTATTATGCAACTAAATGCTACAGATACAGTGAAATGCCACTTATTTTTGCAACTTTCTTGAAGACTTTTCATTATTTCCATCACTTTTCTTCAAAGAGTCTTAATTTCAGTAACTTTGCATCTTTATCTGAAGAGCTCTAATTTATAATATTCAGGCACTAGCTTTGTATTCTTCACTGCACTTTCATATTTTTGTGTTACCTGCCCGTATTATGGTTGCAAGTTTATGTGAAAATGACTTGAATAAAATGTTTCAAGCGTTCTACTTGTCGAAGTATTACACTGACTGCACAGGCCAGATCCATCCCTCAGTGAGAAGGCTTCAGTTAAGGTTGTTATGTCTACATGAAAAAGAAGAAAATTCTGTCTTGCTGACACGGTCTCAAAAAAAAAGTGACAAGAAGGTAGAAACAAAAAATAAAAAAATTCAAGGCATGATAAATTACCCCCCACACTACACAAAGCATTAACATGTCAAGGCTTAACAGGAGGAGGCATATGGTTCATCTGGACACACAATTTCCCTACCATATCTGTCTTGGTAAAAACAGGAACTTAAAAAGCACTTTCAGAATTTCTGCCCCAAAAACTGTGCTTTCACAGACAGAACATTTAAGCAGTACATGGTAGGAAGTCTATGTACTCTAGAAAACTGACTAACAGATTAAACATGCAGCTGCTCCAAACACATTTTATCCTGTTATTTACATCCTCTAAGTACAAGCCAGTGTCCTGCTGCCTCTTCAATCTGTCTGCTAAACTGATGAAACAGTCTGCGTTATGAAGCATCCCTTGCCCCTTCACTGAGGGACTACTACAGAAGAGAATAGTTAAAAAGAGACTTGGAGTCTGAATAGTTTAACTCTTTAATAGTTAACAACAGTCTCACTGGAGACTTGTTCCAATAAGAAGTCACCAAACTCATAAATATCAACTAACTGGCACTCTTGGCTTCAAGTAAATGGAGATGAAACTGATGTAATATCTTTTAAAATCCATAAAATAAATGTAGAATTATTTCAGATATAACCCACTTTGTGTAATGCTTCTCTATTAAAAAAGTATTTCCTATCCTACTACTTATTAAAGCTAAGAGCTTTAAACTGAGAATTTCTTCAAGTGCTATTCCCAGAGCAGAGAATCTGGAGTGGATCAGCTTCTGTGCAAATACAAAAATGCAATAAAAATGGCATATGATAATTGCAGAAAGCATATTCAAATCTATTGAAAATAAAGCATCTCCTAGTTCCCACGTGCCTTCTAGCCCCATTCTATCGCACTTTTACATCTGACCACCTGCCTAGTATCACAAAATGATCTACCACCAGTAGATCTACCACCATTCACAAAGCAGCTCCAACCGAATTTTCATCTAAGCCCCATTTTTTCTGATCTAATTATTCCATAAAAACTGATTAAATAAATATTCATGCCTTTTTGGAAGTCTACAAAATGGTCCCATCAATAATACACCTCTTTGCTATTAACAAAAAACAACAATCACATTTAAACTAGTGATGACTGTCTTAAAAGATACTGAAAAAATCTGAGATTGATTTGTTGGTAAGCATGAAGTGAAGAAATTGTACACCTGAAGCAGCCTAGTAGTATCTGACAGTACATACCTGGCTAAAGACATTTCTTCTATGGTATGGTACTGAACTGAAAAGCATGGTTCTCAACATTTTGAAATCTAATCATCACAGAAAGAAGTAACTATAAAAATGTCACTATAAAAACGAATTGCTAGTACTTTGTGAGAGGTCTCTGTCTAAACAGTGCCACAGATATGATGTAAGTTAAAATCACATATATGCTGAAAATGTTGTGTTGTTATAATGAAAACATTCTAAACTTTATCAACAACCTCCAGGCAAGCTCACTGGGTTTATCAGTTCATACACATATTGCCCAGTAACTTGTAAAAGACATTATCAGGTCTCCACCATCTCTACTCATTTGTATAACATATTAAGGCTGTGCTCCAGGTGAGTCACTAAGCACCAGCAGAAAGTAGAAGTAACCCATTAAAACATGAAGTAATGCCAGTATCCTAATCTCTCTTCTCTCATTCATGTTCAGTGTATGTTATCTGTTTTATTTCCTTTAAAGTAAGAGCTCAGAGTATTTTTGAAGAAAAAAAAAAAAAGGGATGTTTTGATAAGTCAGGCTTCCTTCAGGGAGAATTCTGTGGCCACAAATTACAGCTGTAATAATGCAGTAAGAAACTTGGTCTAATGCCAAGATAAACCAATGCTCCTAGATCTTTTAAGCACATGCAAGAAAGCACTTTAGAACACTGGCTCCTTGAAGTCTTGAGGTTTTTTTCAAACTATTTGCAATCTTTAAGTTTTTGATCCTTAAACAGGGTACTCATCTGCTAAAAGAAAGCTAAGTAGTCCATGAAAAATAATGTTACAACTGATGACACCTACCAAAATACATTTCTCTTGCCTTACACAGGAAGCACAAAAGTCACATACCAAACCTTTGTTTGTTGTGGCATTCATCTAGGATTTATTTACTTGTTGTATTTAAAGCTTTAAGGATTAACATTTGCATCTGAAAGTCCTGAAGGTTGTAGAAAGCAGGTAAATGCATGGCTTTTTCTGTGAAATATAACCCTACAAAACCACAGTAAACATTTTTCTGTGCTTCATTTTGCAACTTTTGGCCTTCAATACTGTTCCATATGGTACAGTGAAAATAACAGCAACAAAACCACTTTGAAATGGAAGGTGGTTTGAATTTCTCACTCCTCTGGGAGGCAATGCTATTAAAGGCAGTATTACATATACTGACATTTGTGCAGTATATAGAAAAGAAAGCCTAACTAAGTGAGGCAAACCATGCCTAAATATTAATACAGAACAGACCAACTTGAAGGTTTTGTCTTCAAGAACTTAACACAAGATGGGATGTGTATAATATAGCATTATCTGTGTTTAGTCCAGGGCAAGGATCCTCATACTGCTGGCAATGTTCTCTAATGCAGCCCAGGAGGCACAGAAAAACACTAGGCTTTTTCGGACTGTAGTACATAGGAAGGCTATCTACACCTTTCAGGATGACATATTCTACAAGTTTCTAGGGATTTAAGAGCAGACAAATCTGAAGAAAGGAAATTGATCAAGGATTATTAAACTCCATAAGCTACAATATCACAAGATGTCACTGAGCCGTAAAACTGGAAGCTTGAAGAGATGGATGTTGCATGATGTATCACTGTGTGCTCCTTCTGTTCTTAAATCATCATTTTTTAACTACTTTCAAATATACTAGGTTAGATGGGCCTTTGGGGTGATGCAGGGCTTTCCTCAAGCATCCTGAAATGCTACATGAATAGTACAGTCCAGTCATTTACCAAGTTTATGAATTAATTTGATTATGAAAGGTAACTATATTTAAATAAACAACACTATTAAAGATTAATTACATGTTCAGAATTTCTTTCAATTAGGTAGTAGAAAAAGCACTTGAAGAAGTATTCAATGAACTTTTTTTGTCATATTGTCTAATCAGAAGAACTCCCAGTGTCAGACTGGCACTTAAAAGTCAAATGCTTCTTAATGTACAAAGTTTCTTCACGTTTTCACATTCATTCAGAAAGTACAAGCCACATATGTTCAACAATCCAGACATAACTACCAGAACAAAGTATTAAAGACACCTCTTCATTTCTTCAAATTGGCAGTATAATCAGAGGACAGAGATCACAATTTAAAAGTACAATATTTTATTCTCTCCAGAAATTTTCATATTATGCTTAAAATGGATTGACTTTTCCAGCCACCTGATACACTGATGAATTTATAAAGTCTCTTCAAGTTTAAGAATCTTTTACTTTGTCTCAGTTGAGATATGACAATACAGAACCTTTCTTCTGACAACCAAATTCTCATATAAAGCACAATTTTTTACATATAAAAAAAACCAAAACCCACAAACCCTTCCAAACTCCTCTCCAGAGAATGTGTACTATTCCTATAGGGCACAAATTATGCTCCTAAAAACCCTTTATTCACGTCAGGGTATATTTCATGAATGGTGGTACTGCATAATGGGACTTACGAACCAAATGGCCATTACATTAATCACCAGACAGGAGAATGAATGCAACAATCTCGGTATTCTTCGATGGTAAATAATAGTTGCAATTTTGTAGGTTGCAAAGGACAGTACAACAAAGATGTTCAAACAGTAGCTGCAAAAAAATTTTTCTTAGAACCCCATTTATGTATAGTCTAGTCATCAAATTTAATCTTTTTCCCCTGGAATGCTGTAATTTGAGACATTTGCTCTCTGCGCCTCCTGCTTGCTTCCCAAGAAGGATGAAGAGGCTGCTCCAAAGATGCTTTCTTATTGTTGCATTTAATATCCCCTGAAGCTTTTGCAAATGGTTTCTTCTTGAGCTTTGTTTCATTTTTAAGAAAACCTGTGCAAGTAAAAAACAAAACATTAACCACATCAGGAACCTTCATAAAAGCGGGCAAACTACCTTGGGATTGCAGATATTTTCAAAAATTTCATAATGAGCCATGGGGAACGCAGTTATCTGAATATTCACAGCAAGATTTCTTCATCTTGCAGCCTGCTAAGTTGCCACTCGGTAGGCTGCAGATAGTTAACATTTATTAATACTGACTAAACTCTAAATTTGTGTAGACAAGCATTCAGCACAGTGTAAACTTTTTTCTTCACAATAAACCAATGACTGTTACACAATGTAACTCACTATGACTGGAATTATAACCTCAGTCTAATGAACTCCAAAATGGTATCACAGAATATAAACTGAATAAAATATTCCACATTCAGGAATTATTGAAGAAATTACTTGAGATAAGGAACTAGTTACATATAACAATCTGGTACCTTTACCTGTGCACAAGTAATGCTAACTGCTTGACAGATAGAAAAGCATTTCCAGTGTTAAGTATTTTTAATATGAAAATATAGAAAATAGCAGACAATATCCACAGATTAAAATGAAAGCTGAGCAGTTTGACCATTTTAACAACAAATGTTAAAATATGTGCCACAAACTTGGAAAGAAACAAATACATCCCATCATGAATAGACTGCAGAGGCAAAAAAATTTCAAAATGTTTTTTCTCTCCTACTTTTACCAGGTTAAGTAATACATACCTGTTCTTTCCTTTTTGAGAGGCTGGTGTTTAGTATTTCTAAAAAACAAAAAGAGAAATTAAGATTTTTCAATAAAATTGTAAGATTACAAACACCTGTGAATAAAGAATCATCATCACCAAAACACTCATGGAGTAACTTCAAACACAACATGCAAGCTTCTTCAATACTGCTCCACCCATGTTAATAAAGAAGTAGAAAGAAAAGTATTCAGAAGTGATTGAATTTGGGTTTAGATCTAGTTAGGAATCCTATGCATAAGTCAGTGCTATTATGAATACAAAAAATTGTCAAGAAAGCTTAAGAAGACTAGTGAGTAGTTTCTGTGAAAATGGTCTAAGGTTTTATGGGCTGAAATTCTCTTTGTTTAGTAAGAATTACTAGAAATCACAACTAGAAATCACATTTCCATTGCCATGAAGGAGGAAAGGAATGGAGAACGTAACATGGGGAAGAGGTTTACCTTCTGTTCTGAGATTTCTGATTGGTAGTAGATAAAGAACTGCAGAACACTGACTCCAGCTTGCTTGCTTTTGCAAGTGACTTTCCCTCTTCCATGATCAAATCCTGCCCTGTCCCTGTCTCTGTACTCTTCTCTGTTTTCATTACATTTTTCTGAACACTACCCTTTTCTTTTGTTGAAGAAAAATTAACTGCTGCTACTTTTTTCTTCTTTTTTACTTTTCCAATGAAGAAATCATCATTGCTGTCACTGTCAGAATCTGATGACTCATTATAAAACCGCTCTTCAGTACTATCATCAAAGTATTCCTTCTCATTGGGATGCTCTTGGTCACTATCATCAATTCTTTCTTTTATCACATTTAATTTGTTCATACTCATATTTTCTTTCCTTTTTTGATAGTCAAGTTTCTTTCCTGTTTTGTTTTGAGTAACTGTTTGCATTTCTACTGCCTGAAATGAAGGTTCTTCTGGAGCATACACTCTCTCCATTTCCACAGTTTTCTGCTCAGATTCACTCTCACAGAGCTCTTCAACCACTTTGTCAGTTTCTACTTTCATGCCTGGTTTTGTTTTGTGTTCACATCCTTGCTGTTTTTGAGGCCGCTTACAAGCTTGGTCATCCAAGTTGTTATTGGAATGTTGTGCCGATTTAGGCTTTTCTTCTGACTGATCCTTTTTTACAGGAGTGGCTTTTTCTGGGTTCTTCCTTGCATCCTTAAAAGCTTTAACAGCAGCTGTACATGGGGCAAAAAAATATTTTGTTGCAGCTACATATGAATTATTTTTGTACAATAAAACATTTTTGCAACCTATATGTGTTGTATTGAGCATATTTTGAATGCCCTTGTGAAGTATTTACCAAAGTACTTACACGGGACAAGAGATACCTTAGAATACAGTATCAACAAAAGTGAAGGAAAAACGCTGAAAATATTTTCAATAAATACACTATGAAATTTGAGTTAAACTGTGAACTTCTCTTTCAAAAAATAATCTGCAGCTGATAATCATGCTCACTTAGTGTACACTTGTACACACACGTACACTTTGTGTGCAAAAACTGCAAACTAATATTAATTTGTTCCTATAAAATTAAATGGATATTTGGTATGCTCTGTTATTAATGAAGTAACTGTGTGACATTACTACTAAGACTTTACCCTTCTTAACATTATTTTAATTTTAGGTGGAAAACTACAGTTTCAAGAGAAAAACAGAAATCCTATATAACCAGGAAAGATATCCTAAGGATTCTGAGGACAGTTTTCAGGGAAAATTAAGAAAGAGATTTGTAAAACCTTTTAGGTGCCTTTGAAAATCTAGTTGTAATGATCCATTTATATTCCTATTTAATTTAGAAACACTGCATTACATCTATTTGATTTTTAGAATTCCCATAATAAGCTCTGTTTGTTCAATACCCTATATTAAATAAATGTCATATTGCATACAGTCACATATAAAGCCATATAAATTTCAAGCCATAGAGATGGTTTGAAGTTTGTGGCTTGGTTCACTGCAGCTAGTTAGGCTAATTACAGAGCCTTTTAGTTTTGTGGGTTTCTTACTTTTGTTCATGTCAGAAATACAAATGAACAAGGTAACACACCAGTAAGCTACAGATAAAATAAAAAATTCAATTAAATGTTTCATACCTTTAAGTTCAACAAATCTGGGCTTCAAGGTGGGGTGTGTTGCAAGTCTTGCCATGGCTCGCTCAGCTGCAGTACAGTTTGGCTGCACAAGAAAAATTCAAGGGCATGAAGTCACCAGAACAGTCAACTTACACAGGCCTGTATCAGTTATGCTACAACGCATACTAATGTGATTCTCACCAGGAACTGAACAAGAAGAAAGCTTATGACACTAACAAGTATTTTATTTTTCATGTATTACTGTCATGCTAAATGCATTAAAATCTGCCTGCCTAAACATTGACAGAAATCACACAACACGTGATATTTCTCAGGTACTGAACAGGGATAACAAGATTTATGTTTTCTTCAAAGCATAACAGACGCATTGTTCACTGATTTGACATTTATTTGTATATTTATTTATATATTTCATACAAGAGCAAAGAAAATTAATGAACTCACTGAGTAAAGAACATCATACTGGTAGAAGGCATTCTGCTTGAAGGAATGCAATAGCTTGCAAGAATTACAGTATTGAAGCCATGAAAGTTGGCAAAATGACATAGCAGATACTGAAGGAATACATGTAAACCATTGAAAGGCAAGGTCTAACTTGACCATAAAGACAAACAACTTTAAATTTGATGTGGTAGAATACTGGAACTCTGCGAACTGATTCAAAGAAGAAATATGATCTTACTTCAATTAAAAAAAAAAAGAGAAAAGAAGGAATTGCTTCTATTCTGACTTCCTCTTTTTGATACTGGAAATCACAGGTATGACACACTGTAAAAGCTCTTATTTTCAGGTTCTTGTCATCACTCTGCTTGAAAAACAAAATGAATGGTATCTAAGACTTTTTCTAATACAGCTCTGTCTTCTGTTCAGTTTTTTTTTCCTGTGTGATTGTTTGTTTCATTTTTTCTTATCTTCTTTATTGAAAGAAGGAAAAGCGGGTCCAACAGATTTGTAAAGCACACCTTTATCAGGAAGATTTCTTAAAGTCTGCAGTAGAATTCTCTGGGAGAGAGTGGAAAAGACATACAAAAAGACATACCTTTCTCTCTTCCTCCCAGTGGTACTGCAGTGGGTACATATTCAAATTGTTTCTGTGATTTCACCTTTGTGCTATGGAAATATCACAGCAGAAGCCACCAGAATCAACAGAGGATGATATTCATAACAAACCAGACAAGTGCCCTGTGACCAAACCTGAGCTGATTTTGGTGCCACCAACTCAACAGAGCATGCTGCCTCTCCTGTCCCAAGCAATCACCACAGCACATGCAGTCCAAGCCCCAGGAGTTACCTGGTAGACACCAAGGAGTAGAAGTGGTACAGGCTCTCTCCTGGGATGAAGTTAACATGCTTCATAGTAGACAAGATGGCGCTGTGTTTTGGATTTGTGACTAAAACATTTTAGAGCTGGTAACACATCAGTGTTTTAGTTACTGCTGGGCAGTGCATGCACAGAATCAAGGCCTTCTCTGTTTCTTGCTCTGCCCCTACCATAAGCAAGGAACATCCCGGTACAGCTGATCCACATGGACCAAAAGGATATCAAGTCTTTTTCAAGGCATGCTAAGCAATAAAAGCTTAAGGTAACAAAAAGGTATGGGGAGATATTTGCAGTTATCACATTTATTTTCCCAAGAAACTGTTATGTGAAGTGAAGCTCTACTTTTTGGGATGTGGCTAAACATCTGTCTGGTGATGGGAAGTGGTGAATAAATTCCTTCTTATCCTTTTCTTGTACATACAGGTTTGATTTCCTCCTTGAACTGTCTTTTTCTTAAGATAGATGCTTTTCTGATTTCTGTTCTTGGGATGCTCTCCCCATCCCACAGGGGCAGGGTGAGTGAGCAGCTGCTGGGTGCTTAGCTGCCGGCTGGGGTCAAACCACCATGACACACACAATACACAACACATCAGCAATTCACACTTAAAGCAGCTGATGTGATCCACATAAGACTGCTCAGTGGTGAATGTCACTTGTTTGCATGTCCCTTTTCTTCCAGCAGAACCATGTGACTATAAACAGTTATATATCCAGTGCATAAAGACAGAGGGGGCAATTCCCACCTACTGCTAGTGCAAGAGAGTCACTCTCAGTGCTTTGGTCTGAAGGAAACATGGCAAAAGATGGCACTACAAATAAACCAGAGCCACTACTTCTAAATGCAGAAACATTTAATTGGTTTGCCAGCCATAAATCTTCCTCAACCAGTGGAAAGTAAATCCCATTTTGTAATTCTTCTCCCATAGTTTTAGAACTTATAAAATATACTCTGTGGTCAGCCATATTTCAAGTTTGAAGTGTAGAGCATCTAGGAATTCTAGTACTTTCCTTTCCCCTCAAGTCTCTGCTACTACAACATTACTTCTTCAGGTCAAGAAAAACTGGAAAAATGTTCCCTCTGAAGTCTGTCTATAGAATCTGGCCAGAGGCGACAGGTCAAAAGATGGGTCCATTTCCAAGGGCCACAGACTGGCTTATTTCCAGGCTAGTTTAGCTCTAAGAACTTGAAATCTGAATTTTGATACCCATGTGACAGTGCTGCATGCTGCCACTAGATTCTTGGGACAGAAAGCCCACATTTCTGAAGATCATATGCTGTTTTCTTTGGAGATTTTCCTATAGCTGGAAAATCTATTTCTGAACTTAATTAATACACTTCTTCCCTTAGCTACTTCCTGTGGGTTTTGAAAGAATATACCATGACGTTCAGAAAGCAGCAGCAGCTTCTGTGCAACATCTGGTGTCTTTCAGTTCAAGTATTTATAGAAAGGCTTTAAGTATATATATGACAATCCATATGGAATAACCATATTTTTTTCCTTAGAGCAAAATACTTCACAAACTAATATAAATAAAATACTTCATACTAATAAAATACCTCACAAAATACTACTCAGACTGATAGCCACCAGCTAACAAACACACGATATTCACATTCCCTCAAATTTCTCATTTTTCTGTATATGGATTTTTTGGTTTTGCTTTGGTTTGGGGTTTTTTTGGCACAACTCATGCTCACTTTATTTTCCCTCAAATATTTTCCAGTATATAAAATGTTTTAGAAATATAGACAATATAGAAAAAGACTTAACAAAGAAATGCCAACTGTCTTTACAATGAATAACACTTTCCCCCCTCCTTCCCATCCCTTGGATGTTTAATTAGATACTAAAATTGTACATCTTTATTCTGACATAATTCTGCTACTTCTTGTGTTATTTGGCATTACTTATCCTTTATGCAAGAATGTGCGAGTACTTTCTACAGGAACATTCTTCCTCCTTCAGTGTGCAACTGAGGCACTGGAAAGTGAACAAAGCAACAAAGCAGTGCATAGTCACACTTTCCAGTGAGAAATTTTAAGTTATTGTGCTGGTTGAGTCTGGGGTAGAGCTAATTTCCTTCACAGTGGCTGCCATGGGGCTGTGTTTGGGATTTGTGCTGGACACAGGGTTGACAATACAGAGACATTTTGTTATTGTTGAGCAGGGCTTATACAGATTCAAGGCCTTTTCTGCTTTTGTACTTCCATGTTGGTGAGGAAGTTGGGGTGCCTGGGAGGCTGGGGGGAGACACAGCTGGGAAAGGTGGCCCCAGCTGACCAAAGGGATATACCAGACCATATGGCATTGTGCTCAGCATTTTCCAAGTCACTGTCACTGTCTGATAGGGCCCTGCTCTCCTAGAGATGCCTGAACACCTGCCTGGCATAGGAAGCACTGACTTCATTCCTTGTTTTGCTTTCCTATTGTGCACAGCTTTTGATTTCTCTATTAAATGGTCTTTGTCTCAGCCCGTGAGTTTTCTAGCTTTTATCCTTCCAATTCTCTCCCTGATCCTGCTGCTGCAGCAGTGAGGAAGCAGCTGCCTGGCACTTGCTGTTGGCTACAGTTAAACCACCTGAAGACAGTCTCCTCAAAAATTCTATCTTGGTAAATAATGTGTTATTTCTGTAAATAATATTAAAAACATCTATTATCAAACACACATGTAAGTCCCACACAAGAGAGACAAGCTTGGCAAATAGTGGCACTGACTGCGAAGAGAATGGACGTTACAAACTTGCGAAGATAAAAGCAGATTCTCAGTGCAAGTTTTGAGATGTGCTGGAACAGGTCAGAAGTTTGGAACGGCTCTGAGAGCTGGCACCACAGGGTAAAAAGAAGGAGCAGTGCAATGTAAACATCAGGCAGAAGCAGTGTGGGCAGAACTTGTTTCATAAAATGCAGGTAATAAAGTGAGAACGAGAAAGTGAGTGTCTCAAGGCAGATTGGATTGCAGGAGCTGAATGGTATGCCTCGGTAGTAAGCCTGAGACAGTAGAGCTTCAGGATGAATTACAGGGCAGAAACCTGTGATTAATCCGAGAACATGAAATGTAGACTTTTGACCATTGTTGTATTCTGAATAATCTTTCTGTTCCAAGACTTTTTTCTGTACCCTCTCTGCTATAGTTATAATCAATAACAGGAAAGAGGTCATATTCCGTTCTTCAACAGACTTCTGCACAAAAAGGGAACTGCCTCACTACAGATCTCATCAGAAACAAGACTGTTATTAGAAGCATATACTACTATAAGGACAACAACTACAGATTCACCTGGGTGAGAGTGCTACTAAACTGGTAATGCTCTGTGGCTCTGCATCTGTCATTAGTCAGTTATTTAAAACAATGACATTCAAATGGAGACAGTAAGAAACCCCACTGGGAAGTAAACAGTACATGGAAAAAACATGATACAGAAACCAACATTGGAGAATGTGATACTAGTTTTTAAACTATCTAGAAGTGCAGTTTAATTTCAAATGTTAACAACACCCTGAATTTAAGAAGGAGGGAAAAAAAAAAAGAGTCAATACTAACTAGAGTAAGCATGAAAAAGGTTAACAGCCAGTTCTGGGCCAAAGAAGATGTCATTGCAACACCCTTTATTAGCAGCTGGGAGAAGACCTCTCTATTAAAAAAATAGCAAAAACCAACCAAACAACTAGAAAACCTGTTAATCCACACATTCTTTACAAAATTCTAACTAGTTACAGCTGTCCTTCATAACAGCAGGTGTGATTAATGTGAAGTCACAG